CCCGGCTGATTTTTTGATTTATTGTAGAGATGAGGTCTCGCTGCCCAGGTGGGTCTTGAACCCGCGGGCTCAGGCAATCCACTCACCTCAGCCTCCCAAAGGCGCGGGATTACAGGCTAAGCCAACGAGCACTGCTTAAACTAGCTCTTTAATCCATGCTATTTATGTACATTAAATAGCTAACCTATTTTTCCACAAGTATTTGGTAAATAGTTCTATTCTTTCCTACTAATTTCATGCCTTTAACAAATATTAAATATTAAGAGTCTCATGCATATCAAAACCTGCTCTGAGCACCAAGATGCAGCAGTGAATATTGTGGCCAATATTCAGGCTACAATAACTCCATGCTTCCATCTTAAGATGGATGGTCTTGCCAATAGGCTGGATTATTTAAGTCCAATTGGAAGAGGACAGGCACTTGCATTTGTCTTTTGGGGTTTTGTTTTTTTTTTTTTTTGGCTGAACTAGCTCTTGTGTGCATTGACACATTTTTTTTTTTAATTTTGGAAATGTTAATAGATTCAGTAGAATCATGGCTAGATCTCAGTATCCTGGGAATTATATTGTCTCTTTGAAGTGACTTTGAGTCACTCTGTCTTCATTTACTGTTTTGACTAAAGTTAGCCTTAAAAGGACAATCTCAAACCGCCTTTAATGCCCATAGCTCCAAATTATGACACCACCAAATGACTAGATTGTTTGTCTGGTTTATATTTTATATTTTTATATTTTATTGCTTTGTGATAAGAGTGGGTAGTTTACAAAATTCCTATATTATGAAATGGCATTACCTTTGTAGACTACCACATCATTATTTTTAAAAAATGTTCCATGTGAATATTTAAAATAAGATATTTTATGTCACCCATAAACATCTAAATGTAGCCAATTGTTCAACATTGCTAATTATATTATTTTATGTACTTATTCATATTTTATCTGTTTAATCTGTTATAATCTGATGGCTATATGTTAAAATCTACTACTGGGGCAGTTTTCTTTTGTCCATGCAGGCTCTGGCATGTCACTTTTTCTTTTTTCCCTTCTTTCTCTAATAAATTTTGTTTGAAAACTTTTTTAAAAACCTACTAATAATAAGTGACTGTCAGTCTCTTATTTCTTACTGTTTTCACTCGATCATTTTGATGCTATGCTGGTTGGTGTTTCCAAGGACATAAATTCTTCATTTTAATTGTGTTAGTAAATAAAAATTAATTAACAAGTCATACTTTGATTCATATTTCTTCTATTAGTTTGTCATTCTCTCCTGATTTGTGTTTAATTGGTGAATCTTTGATCATTCTTTTATTTTTAGCCTTTCTGTATCTTTCTGATGGTTGTCCAATTCACACCGTGGTAGCTACTTTCAGAGATATTTATTACCCCACATTAACCCAACAGCTGCAAAAGTTAAACAGACATATCAATTACACTTGGTACTGATATATTTGAAGGCTTGTACAATCTTGGCACTATAGCCACCACTGTGCTTGCTATAGGGCATGCTCTCTGGTGTGTCAATACATGTCTCAACTTTTGAAAGCATCTTAGCAGTAAGTGCCAGGAATTATCCAACTTGGCTCAAGGGGGAATGCGTGTCTTAATGCTCCATTAGTAATTAATGAAGGAAGCAAACACAGTTTCTCTTATGGAAGGTCTGCCAAGGCTCTGTTTACCTCTGTGCACCAGTGCCATTAAAATGAATGCAGCACTTGTTAGGAAGCAACAGATGTTTAGTACTAGGCAGATATATTAGAACACAGGCTCTTTTTAAACTACATTTAATGACGTCAAATCAAGAAACACTCACTGAGGTAGGAACTGTGAGAGATATGCAGAAGTAAAACATGCTGTCCTTTGCTCTCCAGGAGCTGGAATTTTATAGGCAATTAAACATGTATAGAAAATACAATAGTTGAACATTATATAGTTGCATATATAATCAAATGCTAGTTGTCTGGCTCATTCTAATGTTTAGATTATGTTTATCTATTGTATCTGAAGCCAAATCAAGCAAAATATTACGATGCTATGAATGCTATTTGGTCTGTTCATCCCAGTCTCCTCAACTATTTTATATTCATTGCACTAACAACCAGAAACATATTTTAAAATTACTAATTATTCAATCAATTTTTAAAACAGGCCAGGTGAGTTGGCTCAGCCTGTAATCCCAGCACTTTGGGAGGCCGAGGCGAGAGGACTGCCTGAGCCCAGGGGCTCAAAACCAGCCCAGGCAACTTGGTGGGATCTCATCTCTACAATAAATCCCAAAGAAAACTAGCTGGGCGCCATGGCGAGCATCTGTAGTTCCAGCTACTTGGAAGGCTGAGGTGGAAGGATCACCTAAGCCCAGCAATTAAAAAAAAAAAAAAAAAAAAAATATATATATATATATATATACATATGTATATATTGAGCACATAATATATAAATCAAAATCTGGACTAGGTAGTAGAGGGTCAGCGATGAACCAGATAAATATAGGTCTTGCTCTCATAGAACATATGGTATACAGGGATACAAAAAGAAACAAGCATGGCCAAGCTTGGTGGCTCAGCCTGTAATCCCACCACTTTGATCCCAGTACTTTGGGAGGCCGAGGCGAGTGGATTGCCTCAGCCCGTGGGTTTGAGACCAACCTGGGCAACTTGGTGAGACCTAGTTTCTACAAAAATCAAAAAAATTAGCCGGGCATGGTAGTGTGCACCTGTAGTTCTGGCTCCTTGGAAGGCTGAGGCGGAAGGATTGCCGGAGTCCAGCAGGTCGAAGCTGGGGTGGCCATGAGCGTGCCACTGCACTCCAGCCTGGGCCACAGAGTGAGACTCCAACTCAAAAAACCCCCCCAAAACAAGACCATAATGTAGCCAGTTATAATGCACTTATAACTGAGATACAGCAGGATGCCACATTGTTTAGAGAAGTATTTAGCCCAGATCTAGGTCATGGAGACTTCTTATAACAACATACTGAATACTGTTGATGATGTTAGGTGCTATAGAAGATATAAATGTGAAAGACATGGTTCCTGTTCTCTAGCTGGTTCATTTTAGTTGGTTATTCAAGACTAACACAATAAGCCAGTTGCATGTAGTAAGATAAGTTCCCAATATAATCTATGTGGAACAGACAACAGACCACTGTATAAAGCTAGCCTATAAAGCAGTTAAGAAGCTCTACTCTGGCTGGGCGCAGTTGGTCATGCCTATAATCTCAGTACTTT